GCGAATGACTCGCTTTGATTTAGAGAAAATTGATGCAGATACACCGAATGTCCATATACAGGGTGTATCAGAATGACGTTTTAAAAATTTGGGGGATTGTAAAGGATGAAATTTTGAACGTTTTGGTATAAGGAACCTATAGTTGGAAATTTGAACTAAAGTATCTACAGCGGTAGGAAGTGCTTGACCGCCCTTCACTTTGGTAGTTACCCTTCCATCCATTGACGTCATGTTATTGCTGCGGATGAAAGACTGTAAACACACAACTACAGTGGTCTAACTGAGCCTGTGTACAGGACGTTGTGTACTCAGTGCTTGTCGTTCTTCAGGTTACCCCTTGCATCCACTGGCGTTGTGATGTAAACACACAGCTAGTCAACGTGAGTCCCTTGTGTACGCAACACCAGTAGGAACAGTTCATAAGCTTACGGAGCGCATCTTTACAGCACTTAATACCATCAGAGGGGAGCGTGGCATCTTACAGAGAGTCGGACAAAACATGGTTCGTCGTTGCACATTATGTAACGAAGTTGGTGGTCGTCACACTGAACATTTACTCTAAAGTAGTGCAGCCACTGATTCGATGTACAATTTGATTGTAAGCTACTGTTTTGTCAATAAAACTTGTCATAAATACTGCATTCTGCTGTTTCGTTCAGCATACCGACCTCGTAGAACGTGCAAAGTGCTGTAGAAACTTTATACGTATCTCATTTCCGGCTGTAGGTTCCTTATATCAAAACGTTCAAAATTTCATCCTCTACAATCCCCAAATTTTTAAAACGTCATTCTGATATACACTGTGTATGTATATACATATATTACAAACTTATTTCATTAGTAAAAGTGCATAGTTGCAAAATAATTCTTTTTTATTGTTTGGGCTACAAACAGTTCAAATCCGCTACTTTTGGAGCACAACCACGCTACTTTTTAACCTTCAGATCTGGCAACCCTGCGTCTGGCGGCGCCAGAAAGCCAAGTACTCATAGTCGTGCTCTATGACAGAAGTTGACAGGAATGGCGAAATTAGGGAATCCCCACAGGGCTTCCTTCTTAATTTGTACTTGTACGCATCCGAACAGCTCTATCGCATATCAAATTGCAATAATTTTGTTAATAATTCTTCTGACATGGGTCTAAGTATAATTAACAACTAGCTGCAAGTACCCGCTTCGCTGAGTTTTTATTTATTCGTACATTTATATGTAATATAGTTTTTTTGGTATATAAAAGACCATTTCTCTTCCTCTACATAACCTTTTTCTGATTCAATGTGTTTCCCTATAATTTTCAAGTTGCTCTTCAGTCTTATTATTTCTGTTTCTCGTAGTAATGTTAGATGTACTTCTTTGTACTTCAATGTTAGATATACTTTCTTCCGTGGTTTCATTTCTCTGAGCCATCTTTTGGGTTTGATATATGATTCGAGACCGCAAAAATTCTTTCTTACGTTTTGGCGTTGTTTTTTTATATTTTTACTTTTCACACTTCACTATTCACTTTTCACTTTCTACTTTTTTCTGTTATTCGTATACTTTTACTTATGAAAAATTAACTAAAGTATGTTCGACACACTTCGCCAAAAGCCATCCCCACTATTCACACATAACGGTCCTTGACTATTCGAAAACATTTAACACTTCCTTTGTTACTGAACACTTCTATTGTAAAAGGGCTTCAATATCGTCTCTCTGATATTTTTTCATACTGAAATTCAATGAGACCCCATTTACTATACAGTAAAACAAATAATACTATAAAGTAACATTATTATTATATTATTAATATTAATTTAATCTATTTGTTACTATACGATAAGTGTTCATCTATATATAAATGGACGTGTGTGTTCCTATATTTCATTCTTCGGCCAAAACTACACATCGCAATGGTGTTTGTGTGTGGTAATAGCCCCAAGTCTCCCATCGTGCACTATGGTGCGTCTCGATAGCTATAAGAGTGTGAGAGATATGGGGGTTGAAAGTGGTTGACTTCTAAAATGTGTAACGATGGAAGTGTCAATAATGGAAGTGTTGAGTAACAAAAGAAGTGTTAACAATGAAAGTGTTAATGTTGGGTTGCTAACAAATTCTTTCCAACACAATATGGCGTAACGTCCGAGGCGCGGTTTGGTTGACAAATATTTGATTGCCGAAATGTATCAATAGAACCTCTGTATGTGGGAGCTACAGCCAACAGTTTACATAAAATTGTAAAGAAAGCTATCTTTGAAAAGAAAATGTCTACAGAGAATTTAATAGAATTAATCGGATTTACATTTGGTGAATGTCAAAAACGTGCATGTCATTTCTTGTACCTTTGCGCGTGTGAGCTTCAAAAGCTTTGAAGACCTATCACGGGATTGAGAGTTTCTAAAGAATTTCATAGTATTCCGAATTTCCAGTTGAGCCACAAAAGATACTGAGATATGCACAGACAAGCATGGCTACACGTTCATTAGAAGTAGGGACACATTGAAACTATTTTGTAGATCTAAATTGGTAGAAGGAATAGTGTGTGTTGATGAATTCCCAAATAATGCAGTAATGGATGTGAAGAGTTTGCGAGATGAGGCTGTTATGTCCACGCCAATCTGACGCGCCGGAAATTCCTGCTTTAATTTAAAAACTCTTTCCGCCCTATGGGCACTAAGAGGGCCTCTTTTAGCAAGCCCATTAAGGGTTTGGGCAGGCCTACAATGGGGCAGTCAGGTGGTGAGGAGTAGGCATAACATATTCAGTTAGACCATCCCCCGAAAAATTCCTGAGGATTTATCGAACCCGTCCAGATTCGAACCCAGGTCCCCCAGAGCGGTAGGCTGCCATCTTCACCACTCGGACATCCGACCGGCTCGTTTTCGCAATGAGTCACTCATGCTAGATAGGTAATATTATTCAGCATGAGTGACACTACTGTGAGCAATGCTGCCGCCGACATGTCTTGCTGTATCATAAAACACACAACGCATTTACAACTGCAACGTCAGGAACCATAGAATAGAGGAAATACTATATTGCTGTATACGATTTTATTGTTTGCACTTTCAGTACTTATTGTACTACTGTATGCAGCTAGTGCAATGAGACACCCAAAGAGAATATAAAGCAACATCTTGTACAGTACATTTTCAAAGGTAGCATAAACGCCTTTTTCCCGATTTTCATATTTTTGTTATAAATTACATAACAGTTTTGTCAGAAAATAGGTTTAAACAGAACTTTTGGCCATATTTTGGTAATTGGATATCTTTGAAAACAAAAGCAGGAGGATCGCCATATTGAAAAGAACTATACAAAATGGCGGATAAAATTATTTAATCACAGAAAACCTATGATATATTTATTAATTAGTGTTGGATAATATCATAAATTAAAAATTTAACCTAAGTAAATTTTATTTAAAAACATATCGATCTTTATTCCTCAACGTCATGGCCATGACTATCGTGCATCGTCATATTACATATATAATATCCTCATTTGTCCCTGATAATATTTTTGAACCTAATTATAGATTTAAGAAGATTAATTTTAGATTTTACTAATGTTTTCCGTAAAATATTATTATTTTCGCATTTTAGAGTATACATGGGAAAATTCGGCTGGCATGTAAAAAATCCCTAAAAATATATAATATAATTTCTCATTTCCCATTTTTACATTTCTAAATATATCAAATATTTTTATATCAATAAATATTTTCAAACGTCGGAATTAAGAAATAAAATCAATAATATTCTTTGAGAAAGAAACCATCTGTT